TGCATCCAGACGGCAGCCCTTTCCTCCCCAGAGGTTGGCACAGCAATGCTGGCTGTCAGCTACCCAGCTGTGGCTTTCTAACAAGCAGCTGATGCCACCCACTGTGACAACAAGCGACCTTCAGGATGTGGGGGGGTGGTTCATGGGCGCTGGGCCCTGTTGACAGTGACCCTGCTGGAACAGCCACCCTGCCTGGGCAGGCTGTCCAGGCCCTCAGGATGTCAGGGCCCAGTAAGAAGAGCAGGATTTATTAAGCACTTATTGTATGCCAAGCACTGTGCTTGGAGCTTCATGTGTGCTATCTCATTCAATCCTCTTAGCCACCCTAGGGCATGGGGGCTGGTAATAGCTTTGTTTATAAAAGGAACAGACCGAAGCACAGAGAAGTTCAAGGTCATACAGAGGAAGCAGGGTTTGAACCCTGACTCTGATGCCTTAGCTTCAGAGAGCACCAGGCAGCCCCTTCCTCTAGAGAAAAGGGATGGGAGACAAGAGACCTGAACCAGAAGACATGGGTTCGAACGCCAGTCCACCTGCTCTCTTGGGCCCTCTGTTTTAATCTGTAAAGTGGGGATGAATAATTCCTGGGATCCCTCTGATGATAAATAAGACAATGGACCAGAGACACGTGGGGGACTCAGTCTGTTAAACGTCTGACTTCGGCTCAGGTCATGATCTCGTGGTTCTTGAGTTCGAGCCCCATGTCGGGCTCTGTGCTGACAGCTCAGGGCCTGGAGCCTGCTTCGGATTCTGTCTCTCCCTCTCCCCCCCCCCTCTGCTCCTCTCCTGCTTGCACTCTGTCTCTCTTTCTCTCAAAAATAAATAAACATTTTTAAAAATTTAAAAATAGATGACAATGGATGAGAAAGAGCCTCTGGAGGGGGCAGATGTACACTAACACTGGGTGTTCGAAGAGAGGCTTGTGTGAGGTCATCCTTCCCCTAGCTTCCTTCACCGAGACATGGACTCTCTCTCCAGCCTCACGGTTCACCATCCCCCGCATCCCTCCCACCCCTGACCCCCTCCAGCTTCACCCCTGCTCTGTACTCACCTCTGCTCCCGTCCTCGGAGCACCAGCCTTCCTCATGGCCTCTGCTCGGGCTGGCCCCTCCGCCTGGAGCACACTTGCCTGGCTGACTCCCACTTGACCTTCAGGTAGCTCCAAAGGCTTCACTGACCAGCAGGGCTGGACAAGGTGCCTGCATCCGGGCTCCCCGCTCCTGACTGTCTTGTTATCGCCCTTGTGACCCCATCTGGGCTGTGAGCCTCAGGCTGAGGGGGTCCCCTCCTACTCCAACTGAATCCACAGTGCTGAGCCCCATGTCCCACACTGGATATTCGTGCAGCGGATGAAAGAATGAGTGAAACAGCCCAGTGAACCAGAACCTAGGCCTCGCTCTAGGGCAAGTACTTAAACCCTTGAAGCAGCCTCATTGGTCACTCCCCCTCCTCCAAGTCTCTCTAGTTCTGGATTCCTTCTGGGACAAGCCTGCTGAGGGGGACTTTAGGGTGGCGGGGAGGGGACCGAATGTGACAGCCCTGGGCTCAAGTCTCCTGCTCTGGACCTGTTAGGTGCGTGGTCTTGAGGTAAATTGGAGCCTTTGCACAGTACCTCTTTGAAGATGGGGCAGGTGTTGTGTTCAAGGGTAGCACTGTGTCTGGACAAGGTGAGGGCCCGGTCCCTGGAGACTGCTTGGGCAGGAAGGCAGGCGCATGACTCTCCATCTCCCCACTCAGGGCCCCGGGGCTTGGGACATGCCCCCACTTCGTTCTCCCATCCAGATGTGACTCTGCTTCCCAGGGAGCTCAGTAATGCCCGACCCAGCCCAGGAGCCACCAGCCGGGGCCCTCGCTGACCCAGAAACCCAGTCACCTCACTGGCCACCGCGTCCCAGCCCGCCGCCCCCCGCTAGGACCTACAGCCATGCCCACGCTGCCATAGGCCTCCCTTTCCACATCTGCTCGTCCCTATGCCTTTCACAGTTGCACAGACACCCCGGGAGCGAGAATGGGGGACAGTGACTCCACAGACTCCGCCCACCCACGCACAGTCGGCCCAAAGCAGTGACAGCTCCTCCCCGGAACGGAGCCCGGCGCCTGCCCTCGGTGGAGGGTGCGCCCACTGCCCTACCCCCCTCACCGGCTGACAGCTTCTCCAGGCATCAAGAGACAGCTGGTGAAAAGCTATGGAGAGCTGTTGTAAAAATACATCTACATTCAGAGCCTGTCCCCTTCGAGGCGGGTGCTTCCTCCAAAGGGGCCAAGTGGTGAAGCGAATGAATGTCACTGAGCCCTTGCCATCTCCACGCGTGCCTCCCTGTTGCCACATGCCACGGTCTCGGACATCTGGGTTGCCTGTGAGGACTCTGGGGCTCAGGATGCTTGAGCTGCGCAGGTTCACACGGGTGGGAAGTGGTTGAGTTGCAGAGACTGTGGGGACCCCCACTACTCCCAGAACTGAGCCCAGACTTCTCAGGGGGACCCTAAGGCTCGCCTTAGCCCAGCCCTGCCCATCTCCTCACTTTTGTTGGCTCTAGAAAACCACTCCCCACATTCCATGCTCCCCACTCTGAGCTACTTTAATTCCTATGCGTTCCACATTCTTTCTTGGCCACCTGTCATTCAACACATACATCAGTGCTTTTTAAAAAAAGGACAAAGATTCTTGCCCTCTTGAGCTTCCACTTCAGCAGGGTAGACAGACAAGTGCAGATGACTGTGTGGTGCACTGAGTAACAGAGAAGAGAACCGGAAGGGCAGGGAGGGAAATGGGAAATGCCAATGGTGGGGGGTAGTATTAGGCTGGGTGGTCCACATCAGCTTTATGAAGAAGGTGGGATTCCAGCAAAGTTGGAGGAGAGAGGGAGTAAGCTGTATGGGAGGCGACTTTCAGGCAGCTGGGGCAGAGTCCTCAGGAAAGAAGGTGATGCGTGTGTTCAAGGAACAGCATGGAGGCCAGAGTGGGTTAAGCGGTGTAGGGAGAGAGTATAGGAGGTGAGTCAAGAAGTGGGGGGCATGGGGACCTCCCAAGCACCAAGAGGACATTGGCTCTTAGAGGAAACGAGGAGCCATTGGAGGACATGAGTAGAGCAGGGACACAGCCAGAGGCCAGGCACTGGGCCCACCAGCTGCTGTGTGGGGAAGAGATCCCGGAGGCCAAGGGTGGAGGCAGAGAGAATGAGGAGGAGCATTTGCTGCAGCCCAGGTGATGTTGGCTCAGACCAATATGGCAACAGTGAAGACGGTGAGAAGTGGTCAGATGCTAGATGTTGCCTCTCTCGTTTCATTTTTTTAATGTGTGCATTTTACTAAGTATTTTATAAATACATACAGAGTCTAGTTTTATTTTGAAAGGAGAGCCAACAGATTGGATGTGGGATGTGAGATATGAGAGAAAGAATTTGACATGCAGATTTTTGGCCGGGGGGTGGTGGGCAGGGATGGAGGTGGGAGGGCGCCTCCACCAAGATGGGGAGAGGCAGGTGGCAGAGGCACTTGCTTGCGTGAGTGCATGTGATTACCTGCCGTCTACTCAGAGGCTCTGCACACCTCACTTGACCATCCTGAGTCCTCCTCATGTTTCAGCTGGCAGGTGAGAGGTCAGGCCCCCAGCATTACTCTGGGAAGCCGGGTCTGGCCTCCCCAGATGCTGGGCATTGCTCTCTGCACTGAGTCCATTCCAACACTCCCCAGCCTGCTCTGTGATTGCCTGTTGACTTGTGTTCCCCTGATCTGAGGGCCACTTGGAGTCGGAAGCATCTTTATGTCTCTGCTCTTAGCATGGGGCCTGGCTTGGAGTAGCCCCAAGCTGGGTACTTGTTGATGGGTGAATGATTGACCATCCAAGAGAGTAGGCTTTCCCACTGAAGGTCAATGACAATCTCACACCTCTCAGAACTGCAAGGACTTGGATGCCAGCACGGGCCCTTTCTCTCGATTTTATACGTTAGGAGTTGATGCCCGGGAGAAGAAGGTAGCCCAGACCTCTCACTGGCACCCCTGTCTTCCATGCTGAGAGCAGCCTTGGTTCCCATCCTCCTCTGTGGCACATGGTGAGATACAGCTAGAGTGCTGAGCTGGCCTCTGCTGTGGCCAGAACCCCTCTAGGAGCAGAGGTGCCTGGCTTGGACTCAGCCACACTACTTCCACACCTGCCCTTCTGCAACCACCTGCCTTAAAGACCCTTGTTGATCAATGTCTGTCAATCTCACGCTCCTCTGCAGTTGCAATTACTACAGCATGTGCAGGTAGTGAAGGAAGGAAGGAAGGAAGGAAGGAAGGAAGGAAGGAAGGAAGGAAGGAAGGAAGGAAGGGAGGGAGGGAGGGAGGGAAGGAAGGAGGAAGGAAGGGAAGTAAGGGAGGGAGGGAGGGAAGGAAGGGAGGAAGGAAGGGAAGGAAGGGAGGGAGGAAATAAATTAGGAAGGAGAGAAGGAAGGAAGGAGGAAGGAAGGAAGGGCAGAAGGAACGGCAGACAAATTTACCACTCGATTCCACCAGCCACGGCTCCCAGAACCTCTGCTGACCACCTGCCCGTGGCTTCCCTTTCTGTCTTCACATCAGTGACAGCATCACCCAATCTAGATTTTAAGTGTCTGAACTTGGACTTCTAAAAGCTGCTATGGCTCTTGAAGTTCTCCCCAGGATACTTAGAGCTGATTTGGTTTGTTTTCTTTACATCTCTGAATTGCTACTGCCCAGCACTGTGTCTGACGCACAGTGGGGGCTCAGTAAATGTGTGTTGGATGGCTGTGTGATTACAGCCCTTTGTGTTTTCTTCCTTATTATTTACGATCATGGCCTTTCTCCTCCCAGACCTACAAGGTCAGGGGCAGAGGCCACGTCCACAATGTTTTGTGGCCTCCCCATGCAGCACAGTGCTGAGAGCTGTGACCAGTTCTCAGCGAGCAGTGAACGAAGCCCAGTTGTATCAGCAAGCAATACCGTAGAAGAGACCGCACCACAACTTAGTGACTTACAACGGCAGCCTTTATTCAGCTCACAATTCTGCGATCAGCCACTTAGCCTGGAGTCAGCAGGACGCTTGCCGTGGCTCCAGTTAGCTTCTCTCGCCATGAGTTGGCGCTGCTGACCTTTGCTGAGCGCTTTTACATGCCTGAGGTCCGAGCTGAGACAGCTGGACGGTCAGATGCTGGCCCCTCTCTGCACATGGGCCAGCCCAGGCTTCTCCTCAGGGGAGCCCGGTGTCCTGAGACTTGACCCCCTGAGGCCTAGGCTCAGGAACTAGCAAGCCATTCGTCCGTTCCACTACATTCTATTGACCGAAGTAATTTACACGGTCAGCGCGGAGTTCAGATTCAACCACTGGGAAAAGCAGACTCTACTTCTTGATGGGAAAAGCCGAGCATTTCTTCAGGAAAGGCAAGGGTACAGAGAGGGAAGGACAATGGTGTGGCCGACTTTGCGATCCACCACACCGCGTGGGCATGAGAAAGAACAGAACCCGCCCAGGTCAGGTCATCTTGGTATTCATTAGCATCGAAGCCTGATACCTCTGGGGCCTTCTGAATTTGGATGGAAATTTCGGGGACCTCTGATGCCTTCTTCCGGGCCCTCTTTCTCCAACTCTTGAGTGTCTCCCTGGCCATGCCGTCCAAGTGGCAGTGAATGTGGATGTTCTCATGTTCTGTCTCCTGAGAGGTGAAAATGGCATCAAGTTTTCCTACCTGAGGGATTGCAGAGAGCAGAGCCCAAGCAAATGAGGGAAAAATCCAAGCATGCCTCCCGGATCATTCTCTGTGTGCCAAGACCTTTTTTGCAGGGCCTCTGCTCTGCCTCTGGCTGGATCTGGGCTGGGTGCCCAGTACCCAAGTATGCCCTGCATCCTGATTTTGGGGTGGGGGTGCAGGGAGAGTTTAGGGCAGAGCCCAGGTCCTCTTCCCTCCCGGAAATTCCCAGGTGGGGGCTGGGAACATCTCTCTCCACTGTCCCCTTGCTTCTTAGCACTTACTGCTATCAGAAAGTGTCATTTATTTGTGCACATGTGTATGGGCCGTCTCCCTCTACAGCATGCCAGGATTTTTCTCTTTTCCGTTGCTGATCTGTGGCCCTAGGCCCTGGGCTGAATGGTGGCTGCGCCCACCCATGGAGCCTGTTGGGGGGTGCGTCAGAAGGCTTCCCAGAAGGCTGATCCTGGAGCAGATGCTGACCGGCAAGGGGCCTGTGGCTGCCTAGCACTGGAGTTTACGCCTCCCACAGCGCGGCCGGGTGGAGAAGAACTGCTTGAAGTTTTTCTCGTAGGTGGGCAGGCTCTCTCTGAAGCAGTACGCGGACTGCTTATCACACTTGCATGCCCGCAGCCCACAGAGGCAGCTGACACCGGGACCGGGGATACATGTACCTGCGAGGAGACAGGGAGTCACAGGGGGCCCTGTTTGGTCCTAAGGATGGGGAGAACAGGGAACTTGCTGCAAGGGGTCCCCAGTCACACCCGGACATGCCACGAGGACAGGAGGGAAGAAAAGCCCGGAAGGAAATGAGGAGGGGGAGGGGGGCTGCATGGAGGGGCACCCTGGGTCAGTGCGCAGGCCAAGGGCGCGGGACCCCCTCTCTTAGGACTCCCCTCACATGTCCGGCTGCTTGCTGGACTTCTCGCTCAGACGTCTAGGCATCTCCAACTGAAGATGTTCAAAAAGGAACACTGGAAATGGCGCTCCCCCCGCCCACCAGCCCGGCCTTCGCCCACACTCGGAGCTCGCAAACCGCACCACCTCCCACTCGAGCCAGAAAGCGAGCAGCAGCCTGGGCTTCTCCCCGCCTTCCAGCTTTTCACATCCAGTCCACAGCCAGCACCGCTGATTTCTCGGTTTAAGATACTTGGCTCGCCGCCCTCTTCTCTCCACCTTCTTGGCCGCTACCCCCGTCCCGTCCCTGTCACCACCAGCTCTTCCTCCCTAATGGGAAGAAACAGACAAGGGCATTCTTAAACTACAACCTGGATCAGGACCACTCTCCTGCTTCAAGCCCCGGGGCGGGTTTCCTAGTAGTTGGGGGAAGACGTCCAAATCCTCACCAGGGCAGCCTTGCCACGATCCAGCCCCTCCCCAGTCGGTCGGTCGTCACTGCCCTTTGCTCTGCTCCAGGCACATCGGCCCCTTTATCACATGGCTGGCTCGGTCTTGTCCTGGGAGCTTGCTCTCACTGTTCTCTTTGTTTAAAACCCTTCTCGCCAGGATCTTCAAGTGACTGGATCCATCTCGTAGTTTGGGATGAGATCCTCCTCAGAGAGGCCTTCCCTGTCCCCCAGGCAGGAGCCACCCTCCTGCGCACTCCCGTTTATTTCCTCCATCGGGCTTTGTGCAACCTGCATGTCTCTTGTGTGTTCACTTGCTTCTGTCTGTTTCTCCTCAAAGGAGTGTGAGCTCTGGGAGGATGGGGCTTTGCCCTCTCCTCCGTCACGGTATCCCCAGCAGGTGGGACAAATGATTGCACGTAGTAGGTGCTCAACCGACCATCCCTGATAAATGAATGAAGCCTCTCCGGGCCTTTGGGATTGAGTATCTGCCCTTTGGCCCAGTCACCACTAGGTGGGGATCTTTTAGTTAGTTGTCAGAGCTGGGGTGTGTGTGCGTGTGTGTGTGTGTGTGTGTGTGTGTGTGTGTGTGTCGATGTGGCACCCCCTTTCTAGAGAATTGCACCCTAGTTCCACTCTCTCTGGAGGGTTGAGGGTGAGGAAGGGAGGCAACCAGACTCCCTGGTTGGTTGACCATGGGCAAGTTAGCTTCGGTACCCACATTTATAACATGGTGGTCAAAAGAATAGTGTCAAAAATAAATAATGGTGTGTAAGGTACAGGATGGCTGGGAGGGCTTCTGCTCCTGTTTGCAGGGGGAGTGGTTTGGCCGCGGCGGGCATGCAGGGATTGCTCCCTTAAGGGCTCATGATGATGATGGTGGTGGTGGTGGTGGTGCATCTGGACAGAAGAGCACTTTGAAGTTGGACCCAGTGCCGGCTGTCCTCAGTCTGTTTGCCTTCCTCCCTCCATAGTCCAGATCTGGCAGCAAGCTCTCCACCCACATCTCCCCGGAGACCTGATGTCTCAAGGCTCATCAGCACCCACTCCACGCTTCAGCTGCGCCCTCCATTCACCCACAGGACATGGGCCAGGGATGCTCACTCCGGGCTGCTGCCACTCCCTCTCTGCCTGACACCTGGGTCACCTTTGCCCTCGCATTCCCGCTTTCCATCTGTGAGCATCCTCTACGACCGATCCTTCAAGCCCCAGCTCCCCCGGGAGCCCCTCGCAAGCCGCCCTCCATCCCCTCCGGCCTCTCACCTCCGCTGCCCTACATGCCCCTTCTTGCCTCCGGGGCGGCCGCCACGGTCCGCAGGGACCAAGGCTCTGCCACTTGGTCTCGTGGCTGGTGTTCTCAGGGGGCCACGTGGTGCAGGGCACCGCCCCCTGCAGCCTGCTTTCCTCTGGAAAGGGTCTGGCACCCCGTGCTGTCACTCACCCCGGCGCTGTCTTCTGGAAACCTGAGTGAGACGCCCCCCTCCCTCTGCCGTGGCCTCCTCCTCTTCCGTGTCTTGCTTCTGGTTCTCTGTCTTCCGTTCCTCTCTTCTTTTCCATCTCACTTCGCCACACCCACTTTGTCTGTTCTCTCACTTTCCCGACCTTTCTTACTTCGTCGGGTCCTTGCCGATGCACAGAGTGGGACCTTCTCCGGACACGCAGTGTGGCCTCTGATGCTCCCCCGGTCCCCAGGCCTGCTGGAACTGACCCTGAACAGGGGTCACTGGCGTGGACTATCATTTCTGGGGCCTCCCACAGCCGTGGCAGGACCAGGCCTGTTAAGACCTGGCGGAAGAGGCAGCCCCGGGCCAAGAAATGCCCTGTTTGCAAACCATCTTTTCAAACACAAACCCGAAGCTGTTCCTGCATCTTCCAGTTTGCTCGTGGGGAAACTGAGGCACGAAGAAAGGAACTGACAGCTTCAGGGCATTCTTTCTCATTCCATGACAGACTTCCACGTGTGGGACGCAGCAGGGCCCTCCGCATTCCTGCCCTCTGCGAACTCAGCCTCCTGCCCCCCCAGGCCTCCACCCTGCTCTCCAAATTCTCTCCCTGGGTCTCTGGTTCGATCTCAGGGCTTTAAATGCCGATCACAGGGCCAATGACTCTCCGGTTCTCATCCCAGCTGGGTGACTCTCTAGAGCTCTAGACTCCATTATGTTCGGGTCCACCTGACTTCTCCTCCCTGTTGGGTGTCTGATAAGCACCTCGAATTCAAGAAGGCTCATGCCAAGTGCTTGCTGTGTCCTCATAGCTGTTTCTTCCCCATGTACAGATGCTCAATGGACGACACTTTACCTACGTCCCTACCTACGGCCGCCCAGGCCGGGAACCTTGGATTCAGTGTCTTTTTTTCCTTCCCGCCCCACATCTAATCCATCAGCAGCTCCTGACCATTTACCTCCATGACGCCCAGCATCCGAGACTTCTCTCCTCTACTTTACCACTTGCGGTAGCTTCTCCCCAGTGCTACTGAAACACCTCCCCATCTTTCCTCCCTTGCTCCCCAATCACCCTGGACAGTGGCTGGCGTGATCTTTCTAGAGCGACAATTCAGCGCTTCAAATGCTCCGGCAGCCTCCCCTGCCACTTACGGGGACGGGGAGCTCCTTACCTGTCTGCTCTCCCCCAAGCCCCGCGAACCCCGTTCCCGGTGCGACGCCAGGCTCCGCCGCCCCGCTGCCCATCGCCTCTGCTCCTGCCACACTGGCTAAATGTCACCTGAAGTAGCCAGCCTTCCCTCCTTCTGCTGTCATCATTCGGTAGCCTGTCGCCTCATCATAGCACTGGTCAACACCTGAGGGTACTTTATTTCTGAATATTTGTGACCTGGATTACTCCCTGAAGGCAAGCTCCTTCTGGGCAGGAAGTCTGTCTTTTCATTGCATGCCTTCAACCCTGAATATGCAATGACCACTCCACCACTATGCGCTGTCTACAGCCTCCCTGGCTGGACGGTCACGGTCTGTGGGTCAGGGAAAGGGTCCCTGCCCCAGGATGCCAAGTTCTCAGTCCAGACCCGCCACCAGTGTGTGCTTTAGGATCTCCAGCAAGTCGTGTGTCCCCAAGCCTGTGTCCTCAGCTTTCAAACTGGGAAAGAGATACTTGTGCTAACTATCTCATGAGGTTTTCATTCATTCACTCATCAAACGAACAGGTACTGAGCTCTTAACCTGTGCCTGGCCTTTGGCTAGGACCTGGATGGGGGGGGGGGGCGGGGGCGGGGGTATGGGTCTGAGCAAGCAGACCCTGCGTCACTTGACTCCAAGGGTGTCCCTCTCTGCGGTTCCAGTGAGGATGAGTGCCCCCCCCACACACAAGACAGGCTTGATCCTTCCTCTCTGGAACTCACATTCAGGTTCACAGGAGAGGGGATGCATAAGTAAACAAGGTAATTTCTGGTAGAGACAAATGCTAGGAGAGGAAAAGGGGTGATATGTCAGTGATGGAAGTGTTAGGAGGAATAAATTCAGCAGTGATGGAGATCTTTGCAAACTACGCATTCCGACGGTTCCCATGTTCACCTTCCCTCTTTGGCAGGAGGAGGAGTCAGAGGCTCAGACACGGAGGTGACAGCGGTACCTCTGGCCCCTGCACAAGTCACACACGCATATGTGGCTGGAGGTGGGGTGCATCTCGGCTGGCTAATCTTAAAGTCCCTTGCAAATGCCAAGTGCTTATGTAAGCCCACTTGAAGGAGGGATAACGACCTCCCTGGTTATTCGGGGGCGGCCTTCCCCACCTGGCAAATTGGCCCCAGGGCTTGGGTTACAGGCCTTTCTCTGCACTGATCTCGCTGTGACATTTAAAGACACGGACAGGCCAAGTTGTTTTTCTCCTTTCCCCTTCCCTGCTCACTGACTATATCCCAGATCAGCCCTTGGTTGCTAGGCAACCCGGGACCAGGCTCCAGTACAGGATTTCAGAACTCGGTGGTTGGGGGAGGGGCAGGGCATTAACCCTTGCGAGGCAGCTCTTTGAACCGCAGTGTAACGGGAGTGGGGGGGTGGGGAGAGCTTTTCTTCTCTAGGGAGTTAATGACGTTAGCTCCGAGGGGATGCAGGTGCGGAGGAAATGCTTCAAAGCAATCTCCTACCAGTGATGGAGAAAATCCCAGTGCTTTTCCACAAAAGTAAAGAGGGAAAGAAAACTTTGATGCAGGGCGACTGGCGGCGGGCGGTGGGGTGGGGGTGGGTGGGTGGGGGGAGGGAGGCTCAGTCGGTTAAGCATCCGACTTCAGCTCAGGTCATGATCAGGTTTGTGAGTTTGAGTCCCCGTCTGGCTCTGTGCTGACAGCTCAGTGCCTGGAGCCTGCTTCGGATTCTGTATCTCCTTCTCTCTTTGCCCCTTCCCCACTCATGCTTTGTCTCTCTTCCTCCCTCAAAAATAAACATTAAAAAATTAAAAGGAGAGAAAACTTTGATGCAAAAAGAAGTCTCAGCTTCTAAAAGGAAAGGCACCACCTAAGCACCTGCTAGGGGCCAGCCCCGTTAGTGGGGTTACTTTAGCAACCTTAGGAGTGCAGACTACTAACCCCATTTTACAGATGAGAAGACTGAGGCCCCAGGTGTGTGTGTAATTATCCAGCTAGAAGAGCCTCTTAGCAGGGCCGGTAAGTCCATCCGCCTTTCTCTGTCCCCTGATGAGCACGATGCCCACAAGACAACAAGGCATACATTTGTGTGAGTCCTCCAACCAAGTGCGTCCCCCCGCCACCCTCCAGGCAGCCCCATGCCGCTGGGGAGGGCAGTGTAAGGCAGGAATGCTGGCTCTAGGGGCAGAAGACCTGGGTCGGAATCATGACTCTTTACAGGGCTGTGTGACCTCTGCCATCTCGGCCAACCTCTCTGAGCCTCAAGGTTATTCCTGATAATCGTGCCCACCCCAGAGGTGTACCACGGGGTCCAAGGTGCGCTTTGCATGCACATGTCACAGATGCTCCGAGACTGCAGCTGCTGCTATGACGCCTATTTTATGGATAAAGAAACTGAGGCCCAGAAATCTCAGGCCAACAGTGTGTTCCCAGAGCCCTGGAAAGGCTCCAGACACATATGTTTTAATCTTGCCTGTTACTTGGATCACACTCTTACCCTCTCTGGGCCTCAGTCTCCCTGTCACTACACTTAGGGCTGGGTGTAGAGGGTCTCTAAGGGTGTTTTCGGCTCTGGAGAACACCAGGAGAGCAGGACCCGAGGCTGCCTTGCTCTGCGCCCCGCCCCTGCACAGCGCCCGCCCTGGATGGGCACCCAGCAGGCGTTCAAGCAATGCTGGGCAGGTAACTGAACGTGCCTGTGTCTGGTTTGTGGGCTCAGCACGTATCCGCAGCAGACCCGGGGTCGGAACCCAGATTACTCAGCTCCTGGGAGCTCCTGGGAGCAGGGGCCTGGCAAGGTGGGGTGGGGAGGACAGGGGGTCAGCCTGGCACTCACTGGGTCAGCTGAGGAGGGGATACTGATGTCCCCCCCCCCCGCCCTGTACTAACTCCCTCAGCAGGGCTCTGGACTCCAGGAGGTCAGCTCAAGCTCCAGGAGCCACTGACCGCCTAGCAGCATCTGTGGAAAGCACAGCTCAGCCCCAAGCTGCCCAGCCCAGCCCCCACCCACACCACCTACCACAACCAGGCATGGGCCAAAGAGAAGATGTTCTGTGTGCCGCCTTGGGGATGGGGGCTCCAACCTCTCTCCCAGGTCACTGTCCTCCATCGCCTGGGTTCCCAAGCTGTGGCTCTGGCCCCATGGGGATAAGGGAAGAGAGTTGCTAAAGAAGTGGCTCAAAAAGAATAAAAAGCAGCAGCAGCAGCAGGTGCAGAAGGCTGGGGCCGCCTCCGGGTCTGTGACCACAGTGCACACAGGTCCTTGGCATCTCCTGAAAATCTGCTTCCCTCCTCAGAGCATCTTTTCCCTTCTCTCCTGGTACTTGCACTTCACGGGGGCATCAGAGGACAGAGCTCTTCAAATATATTTCCTCTAAAAGGGAGAACTTTTCCAACCACTTAAAGATAACACTTGACATGACAGATAATATGATCAAGACGAAAAGAGGTGAGAAGGAACCATATGAAAGCAAGACCATGAGCCTGGCTGGGAAGAGTCAGAGGCACCTTTCCTGGGTGTGCCCCCCTATAGCCAATGGCCAGGCTTGCCCTGCCCCCAATCCTGCCAAGTGGAGCCCAGAGGGATGGGAAGAGGTGGTCAGCAACTCTGTCCCTCCCTCCAAGGGCATCGTGTGGCAAGGGAAACGACACTTTGGGGTCAACCTCCTCCAGCCCCCTCCCCTTACCCCTCCACTAGGTCCTGACCCCATCCAATCTCCTGCTCGTGGCCTTGGGGACCTCCCAGAAGAGTCACTGCTTTAGGTGTGAGCACAGTCATGGCCAGAGAGCTCCAACAGAGAAGTCTCCTTGAGCTCATGTGGGGAAAGAGGGTTCTGCCCATCAACAGTGTGCTTGGGGGCCAGAGGCTGCAAAGGCTGAGAAACAGAGCAGGCTGTATGTGGCCTCGCACCGCAGGGGTCCGGGGTCTAAGCCTTCAGCAGCCCCCCCACACACACACACACGGCTCAGATCTCACCACTGGACCAGGGAGACTGTGTAACCTTATTGCTTAGTCAATCTTGGTGTGTCCTGAGCCGGGGGCCTGGGTGGGGGGGCAATGGGGGGCCCTGAGGTCTGGGCGCTGAGCACCCACTCTGAGGGGAAGATGCAGGGAAGGGAGGTGGTGGCTCCCTGACCTCGGGAGGGGACAGGTGGACTCCAACACACTCGTAGCTGAGCACAAATACGCATGAGGGAGAAAATGGTTCATGCAAGTCCACAAGGAAGGGCAGGAGGCCAGTCACCCTGAGGGGCATTCAAACCACCGGCTCCACTGGAATGAACGGCATTCACAAGAAGGCTACAGCCCAGTGACTTCGAATGTGCTTGCTCTTTAGACCAAATTCGCCCTCCACAAACCCCACACCCCGGGAGCCCCAGACCATGCGCTGGGGTATCAGGGGCCACTCCCCATGTGCTGGACACTCAGTACTTGTCCACCCTTGTCCTTTGCTCTCCTCCTTGAATGGCCTCAATGGTATGTGGGTTTCCTTCCCTGTCCCCCTCTTATTTACTTTTGTGTCCCCCACGGCACCTACCAGTACTTGGCACGTAGTCGCCCTTAACAAATATTTGTTCAACTGAAAGACAGCTGAGCTGTTTGTTAACACATGACAGGCACACGGAGGAATGTTCTCAACAGCGATGGTTGCCAGGCGAAGCTGCAAGACTCAATGTCACCTCGAGTCCACCACTATTTGTTGAGCATGTACTATATACCCCAGTGACCATGCTCCCTGCCCTTGGAGGGCGCTGGATGGGAGAGACCAGAGCTCCTAAGAAGCTTTGCCTCCTAGAATTGCCACTTTCTGTCTCAAAGCACTCTTCTGCCAGCAGGCAGACATTAAGGCCCAGGTTCAAAGCCATTTCACCTCCAGAGAGGGCTACTCACAGGCCACGGTCCCGTTGTCGATGTGGAACTGGTAGCTGTTTAGCACCGGCTGGCAGCCAAACTGCTTCAGCTGCTCATAGCAACAGTCGTGTGCCAGGCAGCATCTGGAGGCCAGAGCAGAGCAGGGTGAGGAGGGGGCTTCCCTGTGGCCCTGGGGAATCAGCGGGAAGACCATAGGTGGAAACCGGAAAGGACACCCCTGTCTCCTCCCCTGCGTCAGAAGTCGGTGAAGGTAAGGAGTAAGTTCCTGAATGTATTAAAACTACAAAAATAACCACTAACATCTAGTGAGCTCTTTCTAGTACCTTCTGCTATCTCATTAGTTTCTCAGCGTAACCCTATGAAGGGAGATCATTGTCCCCATTTCATAGCGGAGGTGATAAGATTGCAAGAGGGGAATTCCCCAAAATGGTAAAGCTGGGAAATGATAGACACGGGACTCAAATCTAGGTCTGTGTGGCTCAGTCATTCACGTAGTGACTTTTACTGAGCACCTGCTATGTGCCAAGCGCCGTGACAGTCCCTGAGGAGACAGGTGTCAGCAAAAACACCCATAACTCTTTAGTCCTTGTTCTCATGGTGTTCTGAGTGGCCGGAGACAGAAGGGAGAAGACCACGAAGAGAAAAGAGCTAGAATGCCTCAACCCACTCACAAGGGGCAGGAAAGCAGAGACCGGGGACTGAATTCTAAGACACAGAAGAGAAAATGCTCTGGATCAGATGCTTCGGTCCTTCCTCTCGCCATCCTCACCTGCAAGGGGGCTTTGTGCTATTTGTCATCGTTGTCTAATGGTGTTAAAATTCAGCCTTTGGCCTTGGAAGGGGAAGCACAGAGTGTCAAAGAGCCGGGACGTTAAACCAGGCAAGCTCTTGTTCAAATCCTGACTTAGCCACTCAGGGGCTGGGGTGTCTTTGGGCTTTGCTATGTTGCTTTAGTGGGTCCTCACAGTTGCCATCTGTAAGATGGGGATGGTCACACCCTCTGGGTGCAAGTCTTAGGGTAGACCCTGTGCACGAATCACCAATCCCCATGCTCAGCCACGACGGGCACTTCTTCGGTCAGTGCCCCCACCCCGCGGGGCTCTGGTCTCCCTCCGGCTGGACTATTCTATGCTCTCAGGAGCCCCACCCAGAAAACTTAAGCTCCAAGGGTGACATTTCAGGCCCCACTGCAGGGACACATGTACCCACGTGAGGTTGGAAGGGACAAGAAACACTTTGTTTCTAATTTCTTCAGGTAAATGAGGTGCCCACCATTCTGTTTCCTATCTCCCCGGACCCTTTCCAGGTGACGCCAACCCCTGCTTCTTCCCGGGGCTCGCACTCCCCACCCCCACGCTGAGGAGTGGGCCTGGCAGCCACGTTGGGCCATGTGGCCTTGCCCAGATGGACAACTTTTCCAAACTGGGCCACCGGGATTCTCTCTCCCAGAATGTGGAATTAGGCCCGGGAGACAGCAGGGCAGCCTTGCTGTGCTCTAAGCCTGAAAAACTGGGTTGCTGAGCGAAGACCACGTTTGCCCTGACGCTTGAGAACCGAAAACGTTTCTGGAGCTCTGGGCGGGACCAGCTAGATGATTTTCGAGGTCTGGTGCAAAACGGGAATTCAGGGCACGTGTTCCCTCACGAGAATTTCAAGCCGGTGGCTAGAGGGTGGCCAGCCCACCCCCCTCTGCCTCCCTTCAGGCACTGATTTCGGCGCAAATCCAATGAGCACTTTGGACTCACCTGTCAGTGGCATCCACTGGGGTCCCTTTGCCCCCAAGGCCACAGTAGCAGCCATACCCGTAATATGAGAAGAAGGCGCTGCGGCCCGTGACGTGTTTGACCATCCTCCGAAACTGCCAGAAGTTGCCGTAGGCAGGGGCCGTCACTGCGGGGGGTGGGGGGTGAGTGGGTGCGGGAATAAGAAAGAAGACGCGATACCGTGAGAACAACACTGGCCAGGCAACTGTACCTAGGGCGCTTGCATCTGGGCCATCAGGAGACCCCAAAACACGCTGCCGGGGTGGGGCTGGGATCAGCAGCCCCTTTCATGGGGAAGGGGATAGGATTGGAACACTGGGTCCTACGGCCAGTTTCTCGCGAGTCCAGGATGAGAACCCAGTTTCCATTATGTCCAGGACAATACTGTCAACGAGGTCTTCCCCCCAACCCCCACCCCGCGGTGTAAAACAAAACAAACAAACAAACAAAAAGCCACCATCCTAGGCAGAAACACCTTAGGTCTAATGCAACATTAACGGGAAAAGTTCAAAGCCAGAGATGCCAGTTCCTACAAATATCAGGAGGCATTTATAGTCTCGCAGGAGAAACAAAACACTTAAGCAGCAGAAAAGATGCCCTCGATCTATTTTTTTTTTTAATGGCAAATACACATGGACCCAGCAATTTTTTTTTTTTTTTTACTTCTACAGAATGTTTACGAAAGTGGGGAAAGAATATATATATTCTGGGGGATGTTTGCTGCAGCGCTTCCCTTGTGGCATCAAAAAAATTGAACACCACCTACATATCCACTGAAGGGGGAGATGCTTTGAAAACATCTACTTTTAATAGCAATATCTCTGGGCAGTGAGATTGAGGAAGTAGGTGGAGAGGAAGATAGGCACTGTTTATATACTTTTAGGCAGTCTTTTTTTTTTTTTTTACAATGAGCATCTATTACTTTCCTATTAAAATGTTCAAAATGTGTGTGTGGAAACGCCTAGAAGGTTGTATATCAAACTCTTAAGAATGACTAGTTACATCTGGGTGTGGAAATGGAGTGGAGTCCAGGAGGAGATCTTGACCTGAGCCAAAGACGGGCACTTAACTAACTTGCCCCCCACCGCCCACCATGGTGTTAAAAACTACAAATTCCACCACTGACTGAGGGAAAATGGGAAATTCATTTTTTACTTTTTTTTGATGTAGGGACCTGAAAGCTACACCGTTAAAACAAAAAAATGGATTTGGTGACATCTCTACTAATGAAATTAATCAAAGTAGAGTCAAAGCGTTTTCTAACAAACCCAACACCGTTTCCTATGAAGCTCTTTTTCACGCTGCAGAGGTGTGTTATCTGATCTCCTGGTAGTGATGACCTATAATTACCAATTATTCCATAAGTCACCACAAGAGAGGCTTTCTGATGAATTAATTGTCCCTAAACGAGCGAGATATAGGTCTGCATTTCTGTTTCGGAATCTACAAGACTTCAAATAAAGGCAACCGGCATCCAAAGGTAAATAAAAAAGGGTCCCGATGCGGGTGTGTGGTCAAACAGTAGTCAAAGGCCCTTTTTCTAGCCAATAGTTAGCAACCTTTGGTTTTCTAGAAGTTTTGTGAGGTCCTAACGCCGGGACCATTCCCTTTTGTAGAAGAAACAGACGCAGAAGAACTTTGGGGGAAAACTGTTCCACTCCTGCTTCTCCTTTGAGTGACACCAGATTTCCCCTCACCCAATGCCACCTCAGGAAGTCCCCCCACCCCTGGGCCACAGGCACCCAGACAGGAGGACAGCACCCAGGAGCCCTCCTATCTCCTTGCTACTTACGGCAGGAGGCAAAGACCAGGATAACCCCAATGGCCTTCATTCCCAAGGACACCTGGGGGTCATGGGCACCACGATCACTGAACCTTCCTCTGCTCATGAGGAGTCTGAAGGATGAACTCCTGAAAGTGACCAAAAAGAGAGGAGGCCATGTAGGTGCGAAACCCCAATCACAGTGCAGGGCTCCAGATCAAAGAGATTTTTTTCAAACCTAATTATCTCTGAATATGATACCTTTTCTGGTATTTAGACCAAAATATAAAGGCAAGAAAGGTCCAGTTGTTTGAAAAGTGCAAGGTTGTTTGTTTGTTTCTCTTTTTGGCACCATCATCTCTCTCTCTCTCTCTCTCTCTTTGATTTTGAAAAGTCAGCATTTCCTCTGTTCCCAAGTTTAAAGTCATATATAGGGTCCATGATGGAAATCCAGTGCCAGGAAGTCTAAGCCCACTTACACAGTGCTCCCCACCCTTCTCTTCCTTCCTTGAGACTCAGGATCTTATTCATGAACTTAGCCCCTGTGAATCTCGGCTGCCCCTCCTACAAAGTGAGCATCAGGTCCTATCAGTAATTTGAAACATTTATTAAGAAGTTACTAAATGCCAGCTGCTGTTTTCTTTACAGTCTTCCTGGTATTTCATTATTTGATCCCCACAACTTGAGAGGCTCTGTGATTGTTGTAGAGACGGAGAAGGAGAAACAGAGTCAGAACAGCTTCCTGGAGCCCAGACAGTCCCCAGGGTCACAGACTTGCCGGCCTACACACAAAATGCAGCTAAAGCTGCTTAGTGGGATCAAATGACAGCGAGACACACCCCCTCATTACTATGCGCAACAGAGGGGGTACCTATCTGTGGCCTGCTTCCCACAGGACGACAGAGGAAAACGTGGGCTTAGAGTCCCCTCCACCCCTGTCCCGTGGAGCCCTCACGGCTCAGGTGACAGCTCTCTTTAAATACAAGTGGTCTTGCTCATTAGAAATCAGGCTAAGTCAGATACTTAGAGGATGAACAATAGCTCTGTTGAGCCCAGAGAATTTGGCAGGTACAGAGCTCTGGCTAGATTTCCTCTTTGTGACAACGTTTCCCAGGAAAACTTCAAAACGAGCATCCTCCTGCGGAGCCTTGGTGGAGGAGGGGTCATCGGGTGCCTTTGCTACTTTTGACCCTCTTGGGCACGATTCTGGTGGACGCCTTAAGGCCCAGCCCTGACCAGGCCTAGCCCCAGCCAGCCTCTGTTTCAAGTGCTGCGTGGATGTTTTTAAATTAGGTTCCATCTCTACAGGCTGGCTCCCTTTCCTCTTCTGAATCTGCAAAAATAACCGTGCGAGGGTTTAGTCTGTGAAGAAGGCACACAGCTTTTACACGAGCAGGTGATAATGCTTCAGAGAGACAAAGAAAGGGACCTGGATGCATTACCGACAAGGAAATCAGTGTCTATGTGCCAGCTTCTCCCGTGGGTCCGCTTCTCCTTCTGTGTCAGCTTCTCCCTCTGTATGTCTGCTTCTCGCGTGTGTCAGCTTCTCCCTCTCTCCAATCTTACCCTGTCTCTCTGGTGAGCCTCCTGGGAATGCACTTCTCTGTCACAGAGTCTGTGTCCAGGGAGGCCAATCTAAGCCCAAGTAGAGTGAGAAACGGTGAACCCACCTCCAAAAGGAGGGGCTTGAGGGGGCCTTGAACTACCTTGAATTTGTATTCTGCTCCTATCTGCTTCTCATACAACCCTACCGGGGAGAGCCCCTCACTTTCTCATCGGCAGCTGTGGAAAGCAAGCGCTCAAAGAGAAGTGACACATAGCGACCAAGTAGCACAACCAGGACTTAACCGCTGGTCCCAACCTCCAAATCCAGTGCTCTTTCCACCTCGCCAGGCTGCCTAGAACTCTGGCCCGTGTGGCATTTTGAGGGTTACAGAGCATTTTCACAGTCACCTGCCTTCACGGCTGTGACTTAGGCAAGACGGACGTGGTTCTCTCCTTTGGACTGATTGTTTGCAGGTGCTTTGGATTGTGCTGAACTAAAACCAAGAGCACAGAGCTGGCGGCCCAGGGGCTTGACGAAGGCGAAAGCATGGGAGGGAGCACGTCATGGACTCCAGTGCCAGCCTCTCGGGCAGCAGCCAGCAAGCGGGTAGGTCTCTGTGAGCTACGCTCTCAGACCCATCAATTCGTCTTACGTAGACAACGATGAAACATGGCTTGGCTCCCCCTCCCCCACTGTGGAGACATTAAGGAGGAAGGAATATGCACGTTCCATAAGTCAAAGATCATTCTATTTTGCTCACCCCCTTATCCCTGGTGCCCAACTGGCCCACATAGGGCCCAGCACACACTAGTACTGACGGTGAGGATGTGTAACATTTGTGTCACACTTATTCTCCACCCCACGCGGCTTCTGAGCACTTCACATGTATTTACTCACTAAGTCCTCATGTCCCCCAGCTGGAGAAGCATTGCCATGACCCTCCTCGTGCGGATAAGGAAACCAGGCACAGAGAGATGGGAAGTAAATCAATATTTAAGGGTCGAAGGAATGAATGGTCAGAGTCTGATCATGCTTCCAGCTACAGAAACAGACACAAAGCTACAACCTACAGAGGGCCAGCATGGGGCTAAAGCATGGGTTGTGGATGATCTCCTTAAATCCTCTTAGATGAGGCTTAGAAGACCAATACCAGTTTATCAATGAGGGAATCGAGTCTGGCAGAGGCTAGGTATCTGGCCCTGGAAATTGACAGAGTCATGACCCATCCCAGGCGTGTCCACTGCAAAGGCAGCATCCCTAACCCTTAGCTGTTCTCATGCTTCCCCACGGGTCCCTGAGCTAAGTGCTGTACCTACCCAAAACACAGCTGGGAAAACAAAACCAAAACGACCCGAGCATCCAAGCAGCCGCCACAAACACTCTTATTTTATTTTAGACACAATTCCAGCAAGGTGTCAGCTTCTTTTTTCTTAGACCCAGCAGTTGAACAAGAAGGGAGTTACAGTGGCGGCCATTAGCGGGAAGGCAAGGGAGAGAAAGGAATGATCAAAACGATAACCGACCAGGCCTACGAACCTGGGGCCATTGAGTGTAGGGACAGACGGTTCTAGCCACATCAACACTAGTGAACCTAGAGCAGTTACTGACTTCTGGTCGTCAAGAAAAGGCTGCACCGTGTTAGAGACCATTAAGGGGCAGAGCAAATAACTCCGGATTCTAGGTCGGAGAAGGGGGTCAGAGTGAGGCCCCACCACCTCCTAGCAGAGCCCTTCAAGCTCCTGGAACTTTAGCTTCATCATCTGTGAGGTGTAAACAATGACCCTGGCCCCCCACGGATTGCCAGCAAGCTTCAACAAGCTCCTGAAGTTGAAAGCGCTTGGTCAACAGTAGCCAAGGTGAGTTGCCGTGTTTGATACGTCTGCTTAAGAAGACCGGGAAGTAGGCGCATTTATGGACGTTTTCCAATAATATGGGGGAAATAATAAAAGCCCGCAGCACTTCAAGAGGCAAATTTCATTACCTGGAAATTTCCCTCTTGCAGGGCCCCCTAGGAAACTGGTGCATCAGGAGGCCTGAGTGACCGTGCCAGCTTCTCGGCCTCTCTGCCAGAGCACGTACTCAGTCCTCCTTCTGCTTGAAGATTATCCATAGTCTCAATCAACACATCTAATGAGATTGAGGGCAGAATAGGACACTGGGTATAGACTCCAGAATCTAGAAGTTGCTAGTTCAAAAAGAGGCCAAATGCTCTTTGGGGACAAGCTGCTGAGAAACTGAAGCTCCTGCATTTAGCCCAGCCCCTGGGGGAGATCATTTAGGCTTCACACCGGATATCCCTGGGGGATACCGAAGGGCAGCTAGCTGGGTCTCTAGGTGGAAAAGCCACTGTGGAATCGGCATTGCCTCTTCATTAATTTTATTCTCATTCGCTGAGTGCCTACCATGAAGCAGGCACTGTGTGGCAAAGCAGGGGACTCAGACACAGGCAAGTTCCTGCCCTCAAGGAGCTTATAACCTACGGAAGGAGAGGCACCCTGCAGGATGAAACCAACACGATAATGAGCATTAACTCTCACCAAGCACTCACAACGTGCCCAGCACTGTGCTAAGACCTTTACATGTATTATCTGATTTCACCCCCACCGCAATCCCATTCCTACGCCCTACATCCTACAGAGGTGGAAACCGAGGTCCAGAGAAGTGTAATAAGCTACCCAAGTGGTGGAGCAGGGGTTCAAACTCAAACCTTGACTCCAGGGGCCGTGCCTGCAACCTCACGACCAGCACAATAGGTGGGTACAGGTAAAGGTACCATGCGGGAATGCTAGGGTGGGGGTGGGTCCAGGGTGGGCTTTGGAATCGGCCTGTTTGGGGTTCGGGAAGTGCTCTGCCGCTCCTTAACTCGAAGTTATCCTGAGGGTCGGTTTTCTAGAAATAGGAGGCCAATGATGCCTTTCTGGAGGGGAGCACTAAAAGAGGAGCTTATCCGGTGAGGGTGCATGGTGCCATCTTGGGCATGTTCTACTGGACCAGGAGGAATCAGCAAAGGCCCATGAGGTTTGGGGGCGGGGAGGGGGTCGTCAGGAAAGGCCTTCATGGAAGAGGTGACTTTTAATATTGAAGGATCGATACATTCGGATTCACTTCAAGGCAGGAAGCTGGATGGGGCAGGCATGAGCAAAGACCCTGGCGAGGAAAAGGCTGAAGGCCCATTTGGGGACGGAGCCGAGGAGAAAGGAAACCGTGGCTGGGAAGGAGGATGAGTCCGCATTTAATTTGGCAGGACAGAAACCTCCGGCCATATTTAATGAGAACCCATTTGGGTGCCAGAGACCAGGCGGTTTAGGGTTCGTCCTTTGAAGACATGCTGTTTAAAGAAAGAGAGGACTCAACAGCAGCAAAGCCAGCTCTCTCTTTAAAGAGCAGGAAGTCACAGCAATTGGCGGGTTGGCTGCCTTTCCGTCCCTCCAGCCTCTCCCCGGCACTGTGCGTTACAGGGCTGCAAGGAGCACAGGGTGCATACTGCTGAATATTAAACATTCCCTAGGCATAAGCAACATTCTACTGGATACCCAGGGGACACACACACACACACACACACACACACACACACACACGGGGGGGGAGGGGGTGAGAAGCCAATCTGACTTTCCAAAAGATTGCATAATTCTTAGGTGATATTAAAATAGCTGATGAAGAATCTACTTTAATCTTTTTTGGGTGGGCGTCGAAGGCCTGAAGAGCATTGCTTAGATATTTCTGACAGAATCACTTACAAGAACGAAGCCACCAGCACGGAGCTGCAAAGCCAACAGCTCCGAAAACCACCACCTCCTGCACCTTCTTGGGGCCTCAGACGATGCCCGTCGGTGGAGGGCAGTGAGAGGGGACCCTAGCAGGAGGCCTGCCCACCGGCAGCAGCCACAGATCAGGTGCTGCTCTTCTGAGACGGGAAGAGACATCGCCGCTGAAACAATCTCCCCCTCCCAGATGGTCCCCCCCACCCTCTGCTCCCAGGCCTGAAGGACTTCCCATCAGCGACAATCACTTGGCACATAATCACGTCCAGCCTGTACCCACTCTTCCATTCTAGGCTCAAACTGTATTGAAAATAATCTGATTTGTAACTCTTTGTGGGTGTGTGACACGTCTCCCCCCACACACCAAATTGTGAATATCTTGTAGGAAGGTCAGAGTTGTGCCCTATTGCAATCCTGTGTCCATGTTTCTGGGATGGACAAGATAGTACATCTTTGGCCACAATGCCAAGTAATAAATCCTAATTCTTTCCTCCCATCATCTGGTTCTTGGATATCGACTAACATTATCTTCCAATAATAGAGTCACTAAGTTATTCATTTGTATGTTCCAAGAGTCTAGAACTGTGCCTGGCAGACAGACAACAGTCCAGTAAGGGCCCTTTCTGAAGCTCTCTTAATTCCACTTTGGAAGAAAGCCTTCATCCAACAAGTTAGGGCCTGAAGGGTAAGTGGGCATTAGGGAAAGGAAGGGAGGAGGCGACGTTTGGGGAAAGTAGGGAAGAATCTTCCAGACCCAGAGGACAGCAGGAGCAAAGGCCTGGAGTATGGGGAGGGGGTGTGTGTGTGCGCGTGGCCCTGTGGCAGGGAATGGCTTCAGGGCAGTCTGCAAGAGCTGGAGGTCTTGGACAGAGTCAGAGACGAGTCCCTCCCACTGGAGAAGGAGGGAGGAAAGTAGGCAAGTGTGTAGTCTGCTGTCAGGACAGCAAGAAGGCTTCCTTCCATAGGATGGCTTCTACTTTGTCTCTGAGGAGAGAAGGAAGGAATCTTCTGAGAGTGGGGGGGGGGGAGTGGTTTCAGGGGAGAGAACAAGGTTTGAAATAACCAGGGAGGACAAAGGAGACACAACTGAACTGGGGGAAGCTGGAAGTGGGGGCTGAGGGTCCGGTTGAGGTTGGAGACCACACGTTTCCATTAGGGCAATGTCTGTGGCAGATCAAGGTTTCCTCAGCACCCTGGTGGAGGTAGATTGATGGAGTTTCAGCAGGTTGGAGGGATGAAGAGGCCAGTGGGGCAAGGAGAGGGGGGTAATGGCTCAGGTAAAGGACCGTGGATGGGCTGGACACGTAGGGAAGCAGCAGTCTGGTCTGCAGGGTGAAAGCACAGAGGGCTGGTGTTTCCAGACAACGTGGTAGACTAGACTGGAGTTGCTGGAGGTACGGGGCAGGGGCGGGGGAGGGGGGTGATGTGTCATCATAGCAGGGGCAGATGTGGTTATAATAAGGGTCCAGAGGCGGCAGGGCGTGAGGGTGCTGATGTGGAATGGGGGTCAGGGAACTGGTGTTGAAGGGTCTGCACTGAGGACAGACACGGCGGACAAGTGCCCCAACTCAACAGGTGCTTTAAAAGCAGCCTTGGGGGTTCTAGGGTTCCCAGGACTCAGTGCAGCAATTTCTCCCCATCCAGGGTCACGGAGAGGGTCAGGGCCTGCCCCGAAGTCACCCGGCAGAACTGCTCCCCAGCCCGGCCCCCACAGGCCCAGGCTCCCCTCCCCCCAGGAGAGGAGCCAGGAAGCCCCCCAACCGCGAGACCCAGCCGCCCGCACCGGAAGCACGTGGCCCCCTAGGCGCGGTTGCCAGGGAGACACCGGCTGTTTACCAGCGGGACTCAGCCAGGGCGACCTCGGCGGCGGCGGCGGATGGAGCAGCTGCGAGGTGAGCGCCCCCGACGGCCCGCCCCGACCCAGACCCAGCGGGGCCCTCAGGGGAACAGGACGCGCCCCCAGGGAGAAGCGGCCACTCCCGGGGCAAAGCCAGCCCCCGGCCCAGCTCACCGTTGCTGGAATGGGACAACTCCCGGGAAACCGCGGGCCATGCCCTCCTGGCTGGGCAGTACGTACGGACAGGGGACACAGACCCACAGGGACACACGGAGAGACCGGAACCAGATCGGAGCACCCCCCCAGACCCCTGCTCTTTCACCCAAGGCACCGCTCACTTTCTAGACGTTCTTTCTTCCTTGCCCCTCCCCCAAAAGTCTGCTTCTGCTCTTCTTGTTTCCTTCTAGAGCTGCCAGTACTTGGAAATAATTGAGCCCTCCTCCTCCCCCCTCCCCCCACTGCTGTTGCAACCATCCCGGTGGCCTTTTCCAAACCTTTGATCACTTGGTGGCTTGTGGTCCAATCTCTCCACTCCCCCTTTTAAACATGCCACTGTGCGTGGGACTGTGCATTGTAATCATTTCGTCGGGGGTAGAACTGGAAATAGTACCAGAGTTTTGCCCTGCTCAGGCCAACCGCCATCTCCGGTTGGTTCTTCTGAGCGTTTTCATCCTGAAAGCCTTGCCAGGAGGCCTGGGGATTGGCAGGAGGCACTATTAACTGATAAACATTTTTAAAAGGCCAATTCAAATGTATGTATCCTTGGTGGATATCAGCAGATGGTATGTGGGTGGTTATATTTTATTGCACTTACTGTGGGTTTCGATCTAGGTTGTGAGTGAAATGGGGTGGTCCGACCCTGTGATGAGAGGTGGGCTCCTTTGGAAAGCAGGACTATGGCCTCAGCCTTTCCCATCCAACGTGCTTTGTGTCCCGTTGATTTGGCAACGAATCTTAAGCAATGGGAACCGGCCCCTTTGACAATTCCCTGGAAATAGTTCCCAGTGTTTGTTTCCTGACTCCTAGCTGGCCTCTGGGGGGGTGCAGCTATTCTGTTTAAGTAAACAGGCCACTTGCCCGTTCAGCGGGCAGCTTGACGGATGCCTACGCCTCCATCTTGTCAAATCACTTTGTGGTTGAGAGTCTGCCAGGACCAGAGGTGGGCAAAGGAGCTGAGCAGGGATAACGACGGGAGCTGTGCCAACCTTCTTGGACGGAGGGGGGTGGGCGGAGCCCCGGGCTGTGGTGCAAAGTGTGGGAACAAAGGCAAGGCTGGACCAGCTCCCCAAACACCTGTTTCCCCCACTTTCCCTCTCCACGGGAGAGCTGCTGGGGAGAGCTGGTGTTCCCTCCGTGTAACAGATGGTCTCTGCGCTCGGGAGGAGGCAGTGGGTTATGAAAGCAGGTTTGAGGGAACGGTTTTACCTGAAGGAGGTGTTAGTCTCTAAATAACCATGAGTGGGCTTATAGGAATTAGTCATAATTGAGGTTTTTTTTCCTCTGAGATAGCTCGCAGTCATGTTATCTTATGACCAGTGTGTCTTAAATATGACGCCCCCCCCCGAACACAGATAATTATATAGTTACCAAAAGGTATAGAAAGTGCATGCACATACTCAAGTTTTACTGTTAAAAATAATCCAGCAAGGAGCCTTGGAGAACACATGACTTCTCATCAAAGTTGTTAAGGAAGAGGTTTCTAAGTTACCAAACTTACTGACAGTTAAACCTTCCTGAGCCATGTGTGGGAGTGAGAAGCCAAGTCTGTGATAATTCTGCAGAAGCTGTGGCAAATTAATAGCCATTCCTTGAGGGGAGAGGGGGGGCTGAGTGGGGGAGTCGGTTTCCCGATAGAGCTTATCTTAGGCAGAACAGTTGGACAGTTACGACCCTCTCTGTCATCCTGAGTTCAAGTGCAGAGCTGCTTAATTACCAGTGAAAGACTTCAGAACCAAGCGAACAAGGGAGAGAAAACGCACACACTTTGCAGTTGATCAGAAAATAGATTACATTAACAAGGAGATGGGCAGGCTTCTTTTTTTTTTTTTTTTTTTTTTTTTGGTGTTGGGGAGAAGGTTCCTGAACTCCCGGCAGCCAGATTGGGTGTGAAAACCGAGTGTGAAGTGTGGACAGACCCAGTCTGTGGATAGAGTGGAGCAAATGCAGAGGCCTTTAAATTAAGAGAGAAAGGGCAGATTTTGAACTGAGCAGGAATATATAGGAAGACTGTGTTTTGGCTGGTTTTGGTTTTCCCGGAGAGGAAGAGGATACTTTCTAAAACGCGGCAATATTGGTAATATGCACAGGATGGTGATGTTAGAATGGAAAACTATGGGGACGGGAATTGCATTGTCTGGGATGGTGTGACGAAGGTAGCTCAGAGTTTGAGCTAAGGATGCAATTAAAGTGTGGAATTAGAAGGCATATATTAGAAAAGCATTATTTTGCGTTTCTGAGCCAAGTTCGTAGGCAGCAGTTCACAGAAATCAACATTCCAGCGTTTCTGGGCAGTGGACAGGGCAGGTGTGAGTCTCATGATCTGCCCAGCGGGTTAGAGGTGATTAGGAGTGGAACCACCAAGGGCTTCCTGGGGAAAAAGCTCTGAAGCAACAGGTATGAGGCATCTGGACCTAAAATAAGAGAAAGCACTAAACAAACAGAAAACCAAAAACAAAAGCAAAACCTTACCACTCATTAAGCCTTTACTGTACATACACCAAGTCTGGTGCCTACAGCTGTAATTAAATCATTTCATATTACTGTCTTCCTATTGTAGACAAAGGGACTGATGTTAGAGGTGTTTATATAATGTCTTCAAGCTCATATGGCAAATTCTATAGATGAGGGAAGAGATGTATCAAAAAGGTAGAATGTCCGTCCCATGGCTACGTGGCTAAGTCTCTGCAGAGTCTGAAATAGAACCCGGGTCTTAACCCACCAGGTTCTGTGGCCTTTACATCCAAACATGTTGCTTCTAGGAGACCGTGAGGCACTGGGAAGTTACCAGACGGTCTTTAGAGGGTGGAGAGAGACCCGGTCAGCCTATGGGCACAGGGCAACAGTGTGGTGGTGGTCAGGATTCTCGGGGAGGAGGGGGCCCCCAGACACCCGAGTGTCCTGGGAAGGACATAACCAGGTGGTAGTCACTGTGTTAATGAAGGGGCCCCCAAGATGGCGAGGAAGGGGAACACCTGACCTGGCAGTTCGGGCCTGCACGCAGAAATGTCCATGCTTCCTAAGAACCCAGCTTCTGTGTGATTTTGCTGGGCAGTCGCGAGCACCCCTAGCAGGAAACCCAGATACGGCGGCCCGCAAAGTGTTGACAAGGTAGCCAGGAAGACAGAAGGCGAAGCCCGAGTCCTCCAGAACAGGACCAGGTGTCACAAGACCTGGGTTCTAGTTCAGGGTCTGCTTTGTGCCCCTGGGGCAATTGCTCTGCCTCTCTGGCTCAGGCCTCTGTAGAGCTAGCCCATGCCCAGAGCCCCCTGTGGTGTTGGTCTAGGACAGGGCTTGGTAAATGAGGGCCCGCGGGCCACATCTGGCCCGCCGCCTATTTTTCTGTGGCGTGTGAGCCCAGAATAGGTTTTATACTTCTAAGAGATTGAAAAAACTCAACAGAGAAGAATATTCAGTGTCCCATGAAAATTATATGAAAGTCTAATTTCAGGGTCCATAAATGAGGTTTTACTGGAACACAGCCCCACCCATTCATTTACATACTCCCTGCGGGGCGTCTGTCACACTCCAAGGGCAGAGTTGCATAGTTGTGACAGACCCTCTGGTGGGCAGAACTGACAATGCTGGCTATCTGGCCATTTACAGAAAAGGTTTGCTGACCCCTGGTCTAGAGCCCACGTCCCTCCCTGTGAGTTCTGGCCAGTGGGTGGATCCGTAAAGTGGGGAGGCAGGGAGAGGTGGGGAGGGTGTTCCTCCCTTTCCCTCCCCTCTTCCTCCCCTCCTGGTAACAAAGTGAGGGCAGTGGACTGATTTTTTTTTTTTTTTACATGAAGTGATTTGTGCAGAGCCACCCGGCAAGGTCAGATGAAAAGACAAGAGGAAAGAGAACGAAATAAGGTCTCACTGAGGGTAGAAGGGGAAAACGTCAGGACTGAGGGAGCAAGGGGTAACGGGTCAGTGGCCAAAATGGCAGGGTTGGGTCGCTGGAACACAGACCACGTGGCTCCCAAAGCTGAAAACATTTCTGGAACAAGGTAGCCAGCCCCTGCTCTAGATCGTGATGTGCTGCCTGCTTCTCATCACTCTGGTCTCTCCGCTTAAGGTCCTCCCCACCCCTGACCCGTAAGAATAAAACTTTGTCTCCCACCTTAGTTACCAACTGGTGTGTACTCTGTTTATTTTCCTCATGGCAACCATTACTCACTCATTGAAAATATCTATTTACTTGTGGGCTTAACACCTGTCTTCCCTCACTCTTGGTTCACTGATAGTTTTTTTCCCAAGTGATTGAAATGAATGAATGAATGAATGAGTGAGTGAGTGAATTGCAGCCAGTGCCCCTCTTCTTGTGCCAGAAATCCAGAGGGAAGCCCAAACTCCCAGCCAGTTGGCGCTAATTCTGGAAGGGGGGAGGCGGGTGTGAATGGCTTGGATCGGGGAGTCCCAGGGAGTTTAATCCACGGCTTCTCTCCTTTCCTGCTTCCTTAGGGGTCTTGAGAAGCGATGGCCACAGAAGCCCCGGTGAACATAGCCCCCCCTGAGCGCAACACTGTTGGCCACACAGCAGCCGACAGCTTCATCTGGCAGCCAGACTCTGTAAACATGCACCTCACAAGGCCTAAATCCGCCAAGGGACGAACGCGGCCGAGTCCTCACAAACCGCAGAACGTGGCCCACCACGCGCCCGCTTCTCTGCCACCAGCCATTCCCTGCGAGTCGCCGAGCAGCCAGAATCCAGGAGCCTGTACCCCCAAATCTCCAAATCTGGGAGCTCCCGAGGAGATCCCTGAGCTGCTGCAACAGGTGCCCCTGGGGGCTTCCTCTTCCCTCAATAAATACCCAGTCCTTCCTTCCATCAACAGGAAGACCTTGGAGGAGGGCACCGTGGAAACAGTGGCTCAAAAGGCCAGCTCCCTGCAGCTGAGCCACAGCCAGGCTCCTTACCGAGAGGAGACGGGCACTACGACGACAAGTGAAGAAGATCCCAGGGCCCGAGCTTGTTCCCCGGAGAGGAAAGCCATCGGCCGACCCAGGAGACAGGCCCCCTCCAGGGCTGGGGACCTGGAGGAGCCACCAGAGGGAGAGCCGAGGCTGCTGCTGGCGGTCAGGTCGCCGTCGGGCCGAAGGTTCGTTCGCCACTTCCGGCCAACCGATGACTTACAAACCGTTGTGGCTGTGGCTGAACTCAAGAACCGGGCCACCTACCACCACTGCAGCATCGAAACGATGGATGTGCCCAGGAGACGGTTCTCTGACCTCACCAAGTCTCTGCAGGAGTGCAGAATCCCCCACAAGTCGGTGCTGGGCATCTGGCAGGAAGAGGGGGAGGCATGGCCCTGAGCCCACAGCCACCCAGCGGGGGTCCTGGGTCTCAGTAGTGGGCATGCGTGGCTGCTGTGGCCTCCCAGGCAGCTCGGTTCCAAGTGCCATGGGAACCTGGTGCAGCTGTGACCCTTCGGCTGCCTCTCCACGGCACCTCCTTTTGATGCAGCGAAATCCGTAGATGCGCCCAGGGCGCTGAGAAGCTTCTCCTCCAGGTGTTCAATTCTTTCCACCCCTGGAGTGACCTGGCAGGTTACCAGGGCTGTTCCCGAAACTGCTGTGACCAGGCCTCCTCCTCCCCAGAGCCCTGGGTCCTTTGAGGAGCACCTGCCTGCCTTTACAACGAACTCTCACTCTCTTGAAGCCAGTGGTTTGCCTTTCTGTATCTGATGCAGGATTAAACACTTCCCAGAGAGGCTTCTCGTCTGGTAAATAACCAGGGCTCAGGAAATGTCGAACTGGCATTTGTATTTCTTGCAAACATCTTTAAGAAACTGGCAGTCGATGCTATCTTAGAAGCAGCTCCTTTGCTGGGCTCAGGTGGCCAGAGTTTCTTGGGGGTTACCGTGTGTGTGACGTGGCTTCCGAGGAAAGATTTGCTAATACAAATCCCCCAAGACATCAGCATTTCTGAGATAGTCTTGGAGCTAGAAAGTCAATTGCCTCCACAACCATGAATTAGCCAAGCAGCTACTTGTAAATAGAGACTAAGTAGGTTTGCAAATATTGGTGACTACTCTGTGGATGCAAAACTCTTTCCAAACAGAAAGTCCGGTGTCATATGATGGCCTTTTCCTTTGTCACCTGTGGAATCCTTTGTTTTGTAAGTCATATAAACCCATGAGTCCGTGCATGTTTCTACTGACGGCTCCTTTGGCTTATCTGGGTGTGGATACATATTTTTATCTCCCGTTTCAGTGTCTTATGCACTTCAAACACAGAGACTCCCTAGAGCGAGGACAGTGGTGACCCTGTTCTGTGATTTAGGAACATCCAGAGGAGAAGGGTGCCTCGGTCAGGTGTCACTTTATTGCACCTGTCCTGAGAGACCACGTGCCCCAGGTCTGACCGGTTGGCACGAAGTGCATCTGAGCGTGAGAGCCTATAGCTGTGTTGTAGAGCATAGGGTGTTGGTTTCCTAACTCTGAGGTGGTGACGTGGACAATTTGCCAAAGTTCTCTCATATTGAGCGTTCAGCAAGACTGCCACCTCTCGTCTGGATCCTCTTTACGGCCAAATCACCCTTCAGAGCAGGGAAACGTGCCCCTCAAGAGCTCGGCCATCACGAAGCCCCGAGTACTGATGTGCTCCCCTTGCTCCCGGGTTCGCAGAGAAGGCAGGAGTTCTAGAAGCATATCAGTGTTTCGGCCTCAGCAACAAGTGCATCTTGTGCCTAGATAAGGAACGTGGCTGGATTCAGTTACTTCCAGCAAATTGATACGCAGCTGTGGAGATTAACACCAACATCATTTCCTCTCAAGAAGGCTCACCTTTTCCTAACTGTATCCCGCACCACCCAGATCACTGGAGAGTCGGTTATTTCTGAACACGGGGTAGAATTTCCTAATCCCATCTCGGCTGCAAAGGTCAGCTGGGGCTTGCCAGGCCTTGGGCAGGCCCACGCAACTGGCCACCTCTCCCGATCACCAACCGTGGCAGGAGGGACCGGTGGCCCAAGCCTGGTACTCACAGTACAGGAAAGGACGGGACTTTCACCTCCCACCCAGGACTCAGGTACATATCTGCCTCTGATCTAGGAGGCTGGGGGAAGAGCCTCCCACAAAATCACACCTACTCTATGTGTAAGAATAAAATCCCACCCACCTGGGACTCGGTAATTTCTCCAAGCAGGAAATCTTTGGAAGACTTCAGTGAAAGGGAGCATGCTCGAGGGAGTTAGAATCTTCTGTACTTAGGGGTATGCTACTGCTATTTAGCTTAGAATTTGGGGGTGGCGAAAATAAAGTGGAAGGCATGAAACAGAAATATTTTAGGGTATTTTAGGACATGTGAATAAAGCTAGATTTGAGACACCTGAATCAACTTTTTTTTTTGGACCAAAGGATGATACAATAAAAATCGATTTCTGTGAAAACGAGTCAGCGTAACTTCTATTTTAGCGCAGGACTTTGGCTACCGTGCTCTAGCAGACAGAAGGGATCGTTAACCTGAGCCTCTTGGGAAGCATTGGGTTCTGCTGTTAAATACAAGTCCTCGCCCCCAGGTACCCCAGGTGCCCACCCTTCCTGTAACCCTTCCTTTCAGTTTATAAGATAGCATTAAGCTTACTCCCTGTGGCATTGACCTTGTGGTCATAGACCTCACTCATTGGTTTAATAAGCGGTCACCGAGGACCTGCCCTGTGCCAACACATGGGCGGCAGGCATCGGTGCCCTACCTAGAGAGCATTGGCAAGGCAATAGGGAACCACCTCTGACTCTTAACTCCAGCCCAACCTGGCTGAAGTTGCCGGCTATTAGCTTTGCCCGTGAAGGACCCTGGAGTAAGGATCAGACAGGTTGTTGCTGTCTCCTCGCCACCTCGTGGAAGTGCAAAGGGAAGTCCTTCCCACCTTTCTAGCCATGGCCCCAAGAAGCCTGGTCATTAGGGACATGAACTTTGCATAGGACAAAGCTTCGCTAGTTTTCCCAGCATTTCTCCTGACGTAGCCCAAGAGGTAAATCAGTCCCGGCAGCAGAAGGAACAGCAGGGGAAATAAGTGACTCATCGTTTAGAATCCAAAAAATTTTCACCAACAGATGGCAGGTGGTTTTAATACAACAGTCCTCGCCCTGAAAGTACCTGGGGATCCAGCCAACAGCCGGCAAGCCGGGGCAGTCCTGATGAAGAGATGCACGTGAATATGACTAGGGGCCGGCAGTCACCCCAGAGATCCCGCACAAAACACTCCACAAACAGACTGCAACCAGTCTTGAGGTTTCCATTCCAATTAAAAACCGTGAAGTCTAAGGATAGATCACTATCCCCGTCATGCATCACAGAAGTGGGCACTCCAGGAACTAAACTTCGCTTTCATTCGCTCCTAACCACAATCTCCAGTGGGTTTCTAGAGTCCAATGAAGCCATGCTGCCCCAAGAGGCAAAAAAAAGTCTCTGTTTCCAGTTTTCTAAGGTCTTCCTAAGAGGTTGAGATAAAAAGGTGCACAGTTTCCCGTAGTTTGAGGTGTGTTTTACATGAGCCTTTTAGATGGTAAGATGGTCTATGTTCCTACTTTTAAACAGAAATGCAAAGAAACTAGATGATTCTACTTTAGCCTGAGTTCGGAGTCCGTCTGAGAAACAGGCAGCAACACATGTTTCTGTAATCCACTGAGCAACACCCCGCCATGAAGTGAAAAGTCTGAAGCCCGTTCACCCTCGCTCAGAGCCAGAACCAACCCAGACCCAGCAAAGATCAGAGGCCACCGCGGAGGAGTTGGCAGAACCCACGTGGAGCCGACTTTGGGTGACTCACTAACACACAAGACGGCGACTCACATTGTAAAAATAAAATTGGGTGTTTTGTTTTGCGTCTACACTGGTAATGTGACATTTTCCTTCCCCGATTAGGGCCGTTTCTGGCAGCCCTTTCTGACGTCCATCCGTGTTCCTCTACCTTCAAACCTGTAGAGGAAGCAGCAATGCTCCTGAACAATTTATGCGGAAGATCAAATCTCTGGAGGTATTTTTGGACATGCTTGAATCCTATCCCAGGAGGTTGAACAACTGATGAGACATGCCTGTGGGTACAGTTAAGTAAGACTTGCCTCAAAAGTCTTTTGTGCTCCGGGGAGCACCGTGACTCTGTGTTAGGAGTAGACTTCAGGGGCCGGAGTGGAAGAGCGAACACCATCTATGGCCATAGACAGTAACCAGGGGAGAGATGACATTGACCTGGGCCAGAACAGTAGCCATAGATATCATGAGAGGTGTCAGATTCTGGACACATATCAGTTAAGGGGGTCAAAAGGGCAAGAGAGTTTGACAGGTTGGGGTTTACCCAAGTAGATGTCCCTTGACCATGTCACCACTGTGGATCGTTCCTGCGGAAGCCAAGCAAACAAACATGTCAGCCACAAACAACATGGCGGGCAGGGAAAAACACTGACCAGCAGCACTGTTCGTAGGAAGGAAGTGCATGTGTACTTTGGGATAAAATGGATGGAGAGTCCCAAAGCCATTAATTGCTTTAACTGAGAAGAGATGCAACTAAAAATGTTGTTATTTCATTTAATGTGTAGGTTCAACAAAATCAATTAATAACCATCTGACTCTCAGGATAGATTATTGACCAAGGTTGCTTAGGAAATCCTTGCTCCTAAGTAACATATTGTTTACATCCCCTTTCCTTTCCTGCTGCCTCCATTCCGTTCATTCAGATCCAGCAGCTGATTTGGGATGCATTTTTTCTTCGGGGGTAAATAAAGCCACTGTCCTTTGAACTAATTAACAAAGCTTCCAAATTTCACGATTTTCATGGCCACCTGTTCTTTACAACAAGAAGATTTGTGCGGTAGGACCTTGGTCCTCTCTGTGACCGGCTGAGAACTGCACCTTCTGAGATCTGCCCCCTGATAGAGAGGTAGGGGTCAAGGCTCTGCTCTGGCTGGTGAGAACCACTGATGAACACCCTGGGTCGGCTCGAGCCCCAACCTGCTGTTAACCAGAGTGGCTGGCCACCTGCAGGCAAACTGGGGAAGAGTGGTGGTAACTCTCATTGTCCCAACTGGGAGGTACAGCCTGGAAATCACATGCTGTCCCCAGTCCAGCCCTGCACCTGGCCCTGGGATGCTGCAGTGTCAACCCAGCCCAGACTTTTGTGTACCATGTCTCAAAGCCTCCGGATCTAGACTCTGTAGAGGGCTATTAGTTTCCCCAACCCAGCCTGGCTCTTTGCCTTTTTTTTTTTTTTTTTAAGTTTATTTACTTATTTTGAGAGAGAGAAAGAGAGAAAGTACAAGTAGGGAAGGGCCAGAGAGAGAGAGGGAGAGAGAGAGAATCCCAGGCAGGCTCTGCACTGATAGCACGGAGCCTAATGTGGGGCTTGAATCCACAAACCATGAGATCATGACTTGAGCTGAAACCAAGAGTCATTCACTTAACTGACTGCACCACTCAGGTGCCCTACCTTCTTTTTAAAAAATTTTTAAAAATTTTGAGAGAGAGAATGCATGTTTGAGCATAAGCAGGGGACGGGCAGAGAGAGATGAGAGGGTGTAAGGGATGGTGTGGGTACAGAGGATACAAAGTGGGCTCTGCACTGACAGCAGAGAACCCAATATGGAGCTTGAACTCATGAACCCATGAGATCATGACCTGAGCCAGTCTGACGCTTAACCCATTGAGCCACCCAGGCGCCCAGCTTGCTCTTTGCCTTCTTAATGGAGTTCCCAGAAGGCCCTCATCTTATTCAAATCATCTGTCACAGTTTCATTCAACAAATATATATTAAGAACCTCTATGCCAGGTCCATATTAGGTCTATCAATGACCAGACCAGATCAAAAATCCCTGCCCTTACAGAGGCTACATGTTCATGTGGGGAGACAGAAAAAGAATAAAAATAACAAATAATATAGTGTGATAGAAAGGAATACATGTGATGGAAAACAGAAAACCAGCAAGCTAAGGGGGATCTGGAGACCATGGGGGTGGGTGGTGTGTGTGGAGGATGAGACATCACATGGTGGTCAAGGCAGACTGCATTGACACTAGCATCTGGGCGGAGAGCTTGAAGGAGGTGAGGGGGTGGTGAGATAGGTGGGGGAAGCCTGATCCTGGCAGAGGGGATGCAGAGGTCAGGGGGAGCAAGTACATCCAGCCCCTTAGTACACCCCGGGCAGGGTGGCTGGAGGGAGGGAGGATAGAGCCATCAGACACCGGAGTGGGGAGATAGGTCACACGGGACCTACTGTCATTGGGTATAATAGGAGACCACTGCAGGGCGCTGAGCAGAGGAGTCATACCTGACATGTGTGTTCAAATCAGCGATCTGGCTGCTGTGCTGAAAACAAAGGTAGAAGATGGAAGCCCAGGGAGAAGCTACCATTTCTACGATCCAAGTGAGAGGAGACCAGAGCAGTGGCTTCAACTGTCATGAGAAGCAGGCAGCCTCCGGGGATATCATCCATTTACTATTTTAAAAAGCAGTGCTCACTTTTATTGTAAAAACAGTATTAAAGTAAATGCTAATCCACAACTTGCTTCACCATCATCATCGATCATTTTTCCAGGCAGGAGAGGCTCACTCGTAGAGAATCCATTGTGCTCTGTCCCCAAAACAAAACACATGCCTTTTTTTAAAAATGGAAAACTTAGAAACTATAGAGAAGATTGAAGAGAAAAATAAAAATCATCCACAATCCTTTCAGTCAGACATAATTGTTATTAATTATCTTGGCATATGTTATTTCTTTCTTAATGATTAGATCATTTTGCACATTACAGTCTTGTCAGTAGGCACACGTGCATTTAACATTTGCAGTCCTAATAAACACAGTGGTTTTAGATCTTTTTGTTCCAAATTTCTCCAGTCCTCATAGTTATTTTAAGGCTGAGTAATATTTCAATGTGTTGATGTCCTGTAATTTCTTAAACTATTTCTTTTCTGGGAACATGTCTGGTTTTTAGATTTTGCCATAGAAGTTGATGCCTGAATCTTCATTTATGTAGCTTTGTGCATCCTTTGAATGATTTCTTTAGGACAATTTCCAGAAATAAGATCGGGAGGTCAAATTACGTAAACACAAACAAGCAAACAAACTTGTGGATTTTGCTTTGCCCTTCAAAAGATTAAATAGCCAGCATCTCAAGTCTTAATGCAGCATGGACAGTTTCGAGGCCACTGCTTTTGATAGAATTTTCCTTACTTTTGTTGGTTGAAAATAAAAACAAAGTTTTTTTTTCTAGCTTTGCATGTCTCTTATTGCTATTATATATTAAAATGTTGACATGTCTTTCAACATACTTTCAACTTTAAAGTAAAAAGCCTAAGGTACAATTCATTTGCTGTCATCATCTGGGCCACTCCATTTCAATTAAAGCCAAGGCAAGGGAGGATTGATGGAAGGCTGAGAGATAAATTTCTTCATTCTCAATA